ACATATCTGGCATTTGGATTTTATTGTCCTATTCTGTAATTTTTTGGATTCTGTTTATTTCATTGAACTTGCAGCATTAAAAGATGATTTTTGACTTTATTTCCTGTGTCCTGAGTCTTGCATTCGGGGCCGCAAAACACAGTGGTTCACAACACCTACATCACAGATTTACTCGCACCTCAGACACGTTTTATCTGTTCCTGCACGCTCATTACAGAAGGACATTTCGTGTTGGATTTCTCCAGCAACTACTTTTAAATCGGTAAATAAATTCATTCATTCTTATAAATGTATTTATTTATCTTACCTGTCATAATATTCACACTGTTAAGGTTTAATGTCTTCTGTTTCCGGTTATTTTATTTGTGTGTAGTTGTCTTTTTGATTTTGGATTATGACTTGTTATTGCATTATGTAAAAGTAACTCTGTTTTACAAGTTAAGTTTATTATTATTTTGTCTTACCTGCTGATCAAAGAGAGCCCAGAACATTGGGAGGGGGATGTAGAGCACCAGAACTCGCAAAACCATCTTTAACTCCTGAATCAGACGCATCTGTAAAATAAAACACACACGCACAAACAAACACGCATTGGTTAGATGACTTTTAAAAAACTTCTACCCATCAATGAATTAATAGAAGGAGTTCGCTGACGTTACCGAGTACTTCTCCTCAGCCCAGTCCAACCAGTGCTGTCTCGGTGGGTCATGTTTGGATTTGTTCCAACGATTTTTAATTGCAAACTGTAGGCCAAAGGTAAATAATTGGAATGAAAATGGAGTGTGTACAACACAGACAGAAACCCCGAAGTGTGAAATTCATATATTTCTTAATGATTCTTGGCAGTAAAAAGCAGTAAATCAATGTGCTTGCACTTCAGCTCTCAGATAAGTCGAGAAGTATGGGATTACTCACCCCGATGCAATTGCAGACTTCCCAAAGGACGTTTCCCTGGGGAGGAGTTCTCTTGTACAGACTGCTGCCAGCAATGAAGACAACTGTGTGCGATAAATGAAGAGTCAGACTGGACTTGTTTGAGTGAAGATCACAGCGAGTGATTGCCTTGATGTCAGAACAACCAAAATAATACTGAGTACCTATTTAAGGATGTTTTGTCCTCTCACAGCTGCTAACGAAGGCTTTGGGGTAATAAAACCTACCATGTTGTAAACGTGCTTCAGGCTTTTAGCACTAAAGCTCCTCCTCTGCTTCACCCTCACTGCGATCTGTCTGTGACCTCTCAAGAATTAAATCACAGTTTGTTTTCAAAGCGAGGGTTCAGTTAAGCATGAATCCCATAAGGATCAGGGGTGACGGGGACCGAGAGGCAGAGACAACTGACTGTCAGGACAAATGTGGATGGGTCTTGATCAAGTGTAAGGCCGGCTCATGAAAACGCAAGCTCAGCATGCTGATCACAGCCTGGAATAAAGCTCAGATCTCGAAATGCGACTGGCAGGTTTGAAAATAGGTCAACACTTTCATATTGCAGCATCGGATACATAATAAGCACACATACTGCATTTAGTTGCTAAAAACAAGGAACTGAAGATTCTAATCGAAGATTAAAATTTTCAGTTCCTTGTTTTTAGTAACGTGTTGCTAAAAACAAGGAACTGAAAATTTTAATTGAAGAAGAACAACATGTGAGTTCAGTTTAAGTTCATACTCAAGTTTAAATAAA